TTCAGGCCAACGACCTCGACCTCGTATATTAACATATCTTACCTTATGAAATGGCCCCAAAACTTCAACTCCAGCGTAACTCTTGAAGTTTTCATTCACTATATGTGTGATTATAAGTCTGGGCCCTTTAGAATCGAAAGAACACGTCGGTTTTGGCGCCGGCGGTATGTAAATATCACCTATACGAACTCCACCTTCTTCATCATCAGATATGTGATCAATTTCTTCGTGTATTACAGCCTCAGCGTTATTATTTGCATGAGTTCCACCTGAGGGTTCACCAACTTCCATAGCTTTATCCTCCACCTTTCGCTTTTTAGATTTCTGCATTTTGAACCGTTACCGCACAACAACCACTGCTTGTGTTTATATTTGGTTGCACTTGTTGTTAACTATTATCGTAATACGGAAAGCCGACCGTTTAAAAATTTCAAAGCGCGTTTATTGTAGCCAAACATTTGACAGATAATAATTCCCTCCCGATATTAGAGATGGGGTATAAGAAGCGTACTAGTTAGTCGATTTCGAAAGCAAGCTTTTCAAAATACTTTCGTATATTAAAAATAATTTATTTATTAATTTATCAACAATTATTACGTAGAGTTAACAAAGCGGTCAGAGGTTAGCAAAGGGGGTGCAAGAGATTTGTGACGAAGAAAAATTTAAAAAAATTTCAAAATTGCAAATTCTTATAAATGACTAGTTTTTCATTTCCATCGCTAAGTATACCTAAAAATAAATCGAAAATAATTCGGTACTTTCCGTCTAAGATTTCAGGTTCATATGAAAATGAGCCCTAAAGTCAGTCGGCGGAGTTTTAAAAAGTTCTGAAGCCCTAGATAAAAAATGCCCAGACAAGAAAAAGCAGCCATTTATAAGAATTCTCATTTTTGAGTCATAAACTCCTCGCACACCCTTTAGTCAGTAAGATTCTGATACCCCCTCCCATCTCACCGAGGCGGGAGACGTCATTCGATGACTTCCCCTCATAAAAAAAAAACCAAAACAAACGATCATACGATACACTTGTAAAAAATTATAAACTAATTACACTGTCATTATTGCCAAAACTGTTCTGAATCTTATATAATATTACATACATAAACATATCTGTTTACAGATGTAGCCTTATTGGGTGTACTAGAAGCACGTACAGTGGCCTATGCAAATTCTCCGCTGGTCCGAGTACTCACCATGCTTATTTCTCTCATAATGTTAGCACCAGATTGTGATTTCTTTGCAATGAGATGGATTGTTGATGTGTCGTGAATATCTAAGATTTTGTGAGAGGATGGATGATAGCTAATGATAATGTTTGTTTTTAAGTACCTAGCTAGATAGTTGTATTTATATAAGATTATCAGTGGTGTAAGCTCTTAGCCCAATTATCGTCTGACGACCGATGAGGTTAAGTTATTAAAACTTCAGCTATCAGCTTTTATGAGTATGCGATACCTTTGATTACCTATTTAGCGATTTTAAATTTGTCGGTTTTGACAAACATCGAGTATTAATTTTTGTAGCAACACTAGCGATTTTTACAAATCGTAGTGACTACTCTGACAACACAAAACTACCTACTGTCACTTCTGTCAGTTCTGTCACAACAAAAATGGCGAACCGCACGGTGAAAGACGCGAAGTCAATACGGGGCACAAATCCTCAATATTTAATAGAAAAGATCATTAGATCACGTATTTACGATTCTAAATACTGGAAAGAAGAATGTTTCGCTTTAACAGCGGAGTTATTAGTCGACAAAGCTATGGAATTACGTTACGTCGGCGGCGTGCATGGAGGTTTCATCTATCCGACTCCGTTTTTGTGTTTAGTTTTGAAAATGCTTCAGATCCAGCCTGAAAAGGACATAGTAGTGGAGTTTATAAAGAACGAGGAGTTTAAATATGTGCGCGCTTTGGGGGCATTTTACATGAGACTCACAGGATCTTCAGTTGATTGTTACAAGTATTTGGAACCTCTTTACAACGACAACAGGAAGCTAAGGAGGCAAAATCGTGAAGGACAGTTTGAAATAGTCCATGTAGATGAGTTTATAGACGAACTTCTTCGTGAAGAACGTTTGTGTGATGTAATTTTGCCAAGAATACAGAAGCGTCACTTTCTTGAAGAGAATAATGAGTTGGAACCTAAAGTCTCGGCCCTGGACGACGATTTGGACGAAGATATGCCGTCTGATGAGGAAATTATTGACACAGAAGTGAAAGAAGTTAAAAAAGAGAAGGAAATTGGACGGAGAGGTGAAAGAGACAGGAGAAGAGACAGGTTAGTTTTGACAAAACAAATGTTAAATGTTGAAAAAACCTCATTGGCTATAAACTGTGCTCTGATTTATGTATGAGCTTTGATGTAGTTAGCTTACAATATATTAATTCTCAAAATGTTAGTCAACCATTTAAAATCTATTTGTTAGCTAATGTGATGTTACATCAAAATTTTTATTTTCAGATCAAGAGAACGTGACAGACGTGACAAAGAACGTAAAAGAGAAAGATCTAGAAGCAGGGACCGTGACCGCAGAAGGGAGAGGGACCGTGAACGTGAGAGGGAAAAGGAGAGGGAGAAAGACAGGGACAAAGATAGGTCTAGGGAACAGAGGGAAAGAGAAAGAGATAAAGAACGGAGGGACAGAGATAGACATGATGTTGATAGAAGAAGGGATAGAGGGAGGTACTGATAAGAATAAATGTGTTTAGTTTTAATACAATGTTGGTTTTATTTAGTAACCTGTGCTATATTTTCGGTCTTTAACCCGTTGAAATCCATCCCCTAAATTTGGTCATACAAAAGTAGTCTGTAAACATTAGAAACGAGTTCTATAATGTAATGTAATATTAGTGGAATGCGGTCACCGGTGACCGCTTGGGGATTTATGGGTTAAGTCAATTTTAACACTCACATATAGTTATAGGTATTCAAATTTATCATATTCGATTCAGCAGTTTAGGGAAAATGTTACAGACACTCGTGAGTTGGAATAGTTGGAAAATGTTAGACACACGTGAGTTGAAATGAAAGTAGGAAACAGCTGGATAGATAAATTATCTGTAGAATAAAAAAAAGTATGAATTGACATGTATATTTAAAAAAAAAAGTATTGCTATGATAACAATTTCATAAAAATAATTCTCTCTATACTGAACAATTCATTTACCAGTACATTTTTTTATTTACAACAATTAATAGGCTTTTTAACACTACCTGGCTATTTAGCCAAATCAATGGCTGGTCCATTTATTTAAATGGACCAGCCATTGATTTTAGCCTATTTATAGCAGAGCAAGGCTGAAGCAAGGGAGAGGAACTATTATGTTATGTAAGTTATGAAATTGCTTTGGAAAATAAGCCTATTCATATACATGATAAAGTATGAATTAATTTGTAGATCCAGAAAGCAAGATTTCAACTTTCTAAAATTAAATAAGAACATGCGACAATATATTATTACTCGTTAGGATAATTTTTTGATGTTTCAGGGTTTCCGATTAGTTTCGAGCTCCACTGGGGCTCATACACAATCTGTCACTATTTAACCATTAGGATCATTTTTTGATGTTTCAGGGCGTCCGATTAGTTTCGAGCTCCACAGGAGCTCATACTTAAAGGGGGGCTCACGCGCTTCGTCGACAGTTGTAGTTGCCTCAATTTTGTAGCAAATGCTACTTTCTAGTCACACGGACGAGTGGTCAGTGGTATTGTCGTCAACCGCGTCAACGTTTTCGGGCCAATAGAGTTCCAAGCACGAATAAATATCGCATTCGTAACTTATTAGTATCAAGCGAGTTCGGCGCTCTGATTGGCCAGCTCCAGTGAACCAACCAATCAGAACGCTGAACTCGCTCTATACTGTTTTTTTTAAGGGAAAATCGAATGACTGCTCTCGCCTGGGTGAGGCGGGAGGGAGTGTCAGACTCTTACTGACTTAGAACCACCCCGTTCCTTCTCTTGCACGTCGAGCCGGAGCCCCGGTAACCCGTTAGGTTCTCTGTTTTTATTTTAATGTCCGTCTGGTGGATTATTTAAAAACATTAGACACGTATTTTTCATTATCTTACAGAAACGAATCGTTTTTAAAATTGATTTGAAATATCGCATGACGTCACTTTTGAGTACGATTTATGCTCTAAAATGACGTAGCTACCTCCCACTTCTAAACTTTGATTCGTTTTTATCTTAGTACTTATTGTTTTCTTAGACGATAAAATAAAAAAAATACGTGTCTAATATGTTTTCACTACCTAACTGACGGACTAATTAGATTTTTAACTTTCATACACTGTCATCATCCCTATTATACCGAGCCGACGTGCGTGGCGTTTAATTACATAATTTAGAGATAATGTAAGAAACTAGTAGTCAAAGTAAATCATTGTAATCTTTTTATATCTGAACCTAGAAGTGGCTAGAAGACAAGTATATATTTATGTTAATCTGTGCTTTAAAGTTCATTATTTATTTTTAATATATTATGTCTATTAGGAAGATCTTTCCAAATTCTATTAATATAATATTTTAATGAGCATATTGTAATAATAATATTCGACTATCTACATAATTATGTACACAATTTATCGATCACCCATATAATTGTTTGAACATCTATCTAAAATTAGTACTAAAATCATTGATGTAGAACAAACTAGATACCATGCTGTCTGTTAATACATAATTACTATAGGTACCACACCCATTTAGAAGTACTTACCAAAAATTCTTTATTACATTTTTTAACTTAATATTGTTGATATAAAGTCGAAAATATACTGAAGAAATGTTATGAGGTCTTGGGTAAGAAAACATGATTGACGGGAACGATTTATGAGGCACTGTAAATATACTCAACGTAAAAAGTTTAGACGGATGCTTTGCGATATCTAGTCTTTTCTACTTCTATGACAAAAATGCATGCTAAATGCATTATAAATATTTTACTCAATTCATAATTTGTATGTATAATAATTAATAATTCGCCTAATTTGATTATTCCAATAAATTTTAATGTAACTATACAATTTGATATTACTAACATCATAAATAATACGTTATTTTTATTGTTCTTGTTTTTACAATAGGATTTAAACTAAGTTTTAGCGGAATGGAAGTTTATTTATAAAGAGTTTAGTTTACTATTTGATATTTGTAACAGTCAACTTTAGGATGTTAGCACATCAATTGATCAATCGTCGTTCCATGCTATCGATCGATATTAGAATGATCGACGTCGACCAAGCTGCTTGATTTCCCCATTATCACCCGCTGCCCATCAGAGTAGTATCAACCGATGCCATCGACCGGCAATCGATCGTTTGGCTAGTCGACCAGTATTCGTCGATCAATTAGAGCTACCCCAAGCGCCGATCATCGTCGACCGATGTCGAGCGATTGGTGCGGCAATACATTACAACTCGTCTGATGGTAAGCATTCACCAAAGTTAAATTATTACAATATTCAGTATTTGTAAGGAAAATCCTAAATACAAAGCCCTAAGGTTTAAATTTGCTTCCAATATACCAAGTGATAGTGATGGCTGACGGATGACTTTCAACTAAAGAAATGAAGTCGCTTCAGGGGGAGGGCGCTAGTAGCAATTTAGGTCTTTAGTATCATTAAAATTTAATATGTAGGTAAGTATTATCTTATCTTTTTGTTAACACAGCTAATCTCGAAACCCAGATTATCATTGAAGTGTGGTTTTATCCATGCAAAAATGGACTCTATTTCCAAGTGATTGAGTTCATATCCCAGTTATAATTACTCTTAATTGGTAAGTTTATAGGTCTATTGAAGAAGGAAGCATAGATTTGAGATTTGATATTCATTTTCCAATATAAATTTCTCTCTCAAATTCTTAATTCAAATAATTGATAACAACAATAAATTCATCATAAACACATATCGACAATACTGTCAAATTTCTACAGATAAAAAAATTCACAGATAACAAATTCGCGGGTAAATTTGACGTAAAATCATAGACAATCCTCAGCGCTTGAGTTTCGATTCAAAGAGTTTTTAATCATGCCACTCAATGAAGGCACAGTGAACTTTGGCTAGAAGGTTGGTGCATGCATTATGAAGATCCTTTGTTCTTCTTTCTTGATCCATTTGAGTAGACGGTCTACTGCTTTTATGGCTTGGTCTTTTTCCATTAGGGGATCGAACGTTACATAGAGTTCGAAGCCATTTGTAACCTGTAACATAAAAATTCATTTTTCATAGGGCCTTTAATTTTCAATCCATGCCATCATCCGTGCGCGATCCATGGGTGCATTGTTTTATTGTTGGTATTTCAACTGATCCCTTATAGTTTTAATATAATACCTTAAAATTGCAAGAGACACTACTGTCAACAAAATACAATATGTAATAAAAATAAAACTAACATTTATTTTAACTTTAAAGTTACAAAAACATGCCACTCACCCAAGCCAAAATAGTATCACAGGAATTCGACCGAAATATCAACTTGGCAGGCGTAGAAGTACAATGTATGGAACTGCAGAACTTCCTATAATTCCTCACGTAGTCAATATCGGATAATCGTTCGACTTTCTTCTCCATAATATCACCGCCTTCTTTATGTCTCAGCCTATAATCCTGGAGCTTATCTAAGCTGATAGGATCAGAGGAGAATAATTGAGCCGTGGATTTACATTTGTACATAAAGTGTCTAATTTCTGGTATGCCTATATGTTTTAAAGGGTTCGTTGTTGGTAGTTCTTCATTTCTGTTTAGTGCGTCATTGATTGCGACTAGGCAGTTTGATCGTCTGAGTTTGTCTGCGATCGTATGTTTCGCTTGTGATAGTGGGAAGAAGGCGTCGCGTTGTACTGTTAGGAGTAGGAGGCAGGCTTGGCAGTCTTCTGATATGTAGGACACGTGGCCGTGGAGGAAGCCTCTGGAAAATTGAGAAATATTTCGTAAGTAATATTCTTCATACTATAATGTCTTTTATAGAGGTAGTTAAATACTGAGCAGAACAACTTCGGACTTCATGATGAAAAAAACCTAGAGGGCAGAAACTCTAGACATTTGTTTTTATAGTGAAACACTAACTCGTTGTATGTAAAGCAGTAATGACTTTTATTTACATTAATTCACACTATTATTTAAACTTTGTCCAATTTTTAAATACTGTCCAATTAAATACTTTATATTTTTTATATTTGATGGACCTTTGACCACTATCTTGCTTGGTTAAGACTAAAATATTTCTTTGTTTCGGTGCGACTGAAGTTACCGGAGCTCTTTATTGCAGGATTGCAGGTCCATTCACTGAACGTTAAACATCAGTGCCTTTAGTTTAGCGAAACGCCACTTTAGCGCTTTTCTACAGAGAGAGTAGAAAATTAAATGTATGGGGATGACACTGACAAGTGTCAAAATTAAACTAAAAACTACCGCAAAGTTAAGTTCGATGGTTCATTAATTTTGCCGTCACCACTCGACACTGGCAGTATAGTCGACGTTTTGGAGACTCGGTTGCCAAAGAAAGAAAAAAATACAATTTGGTTTTTTATTCTACATGTAGTTGTCTACAAAATTACTTTTGGCTACAGCGACAGTGATTTATCGTAAAAAAAAAACAAAAGACTTACGTCGAATCAAACTTTGGTAAGCAAATCGGCGTCCAACTTTCAGCCGTTTTGAAAGACTCGGAGCTTCTAACCAAGTTAAACAGTAGGTGTATATCCGATGGATGTAGCGTGTACTTCTTCATTCTCACTAGAGTAATCAGTTGGTTCCCAGCGAGCATTATTGCGAACACTAGGTCTCTTATTTTGTTGCATGTTGTTTGAATCGCACTCGTTATGTTCTCTCTTGCTTTCTCTGGTAATGGGAGGCAACGGACTGCGCCTGGAAAGAAAATAGAGCTTTAAGAGAGACAAATAATAATAATAAACTTATTTGCCGGAATCACGGTAAATACAGAGATGTTGCATAAATATTTAAAACAGACCAATATGATTCGCCGTCATAGCGGCATGCAAATTACTAAAATTAGATTAATTAAATTAGAACTAGATATTAGGTTGCTTATTCCTGTGTGTAAAAGTTAAAATGGCGTTGGGCTGGCCACGTAGCTAGGTTGAGCGATGACCGTTGGACCTACAGACTGACACTATGGCGGGGTCCCAGAGGCATTAGAAAGAGAGGTAGACCTATAACTCGTTGGGATAACGATATTATAAAAATAGCTGGTGAAAAGTGGAAGACAGTTGCCAAAGATAGGGATATATGGAAAAGTCTGGAGGAGGCCTTCACCCTCACATAAGAGGGGTTCTTGCATGCTTGCATGATGTATTATTATAATTTATTCACCTTATAGATTGAATATTCTTGGAATTTTATTTATTATAAATGTACATAAAATTGAATTTATTATAATTATTTTAAATATTAAATGTGTAATTAAATTGATATAAAAGTAATTTTAAATCAGTAATTGAATTCATTTAATGATGATTCTCATAACTTTTATAATTATTAATATGGAACATAAATAATTTTACATAAGGAACAATTATTTAATCATTTTTAATTTTTCATGTTTCTTTTGTTGTTATGTTTTTTTCATGTTAAGTAATTTTGCAAGAAATAAAAGGCTTTTTATTTTATTTATTTATTTATTTATATTCCTGTGTGTATGGATGAATTGGTGACTTTAAATGGTGTATTGGGCTAATCCGACACAGTCGTAACTTTAAACCGCTGCTTGGCTGCTATTGGCTGTCGTAACGTAATGTTTTATAGCATTCCCCAACAAATGGACTGTCCAACAAAAAAAGTAGTTTAATTCAAGCCTGTAATCTTGGAGATTAGTTCTTTTTTGTGGTTCACCAAATTTAAGGTTCAACTAATTCTGTATGTTGTGTTTTTTTGTTATACAAATTATAAGTTGGTGGTCAGATTCAGTATTCAATATATTTATAGATCGAAAGCGAAGTACATAGGTTCCTACTACCTACTTACGTGTATAAGAAACCTCAGAACTACTACAGAACAACAGGATTGTATTATAAATCTATAAGTAAGTAGTTCAGTTATTAAGTAGTAGTACTAATGAAATAAAAATCATTGTCTTCAATGTCCATAATCTAGACACATAGTTACGACTCCTTATCAATATCATTTGTATTATACGGACTACAAAAGATCGTACGCAAGGCACGGAAATCCAATTTGAAACTCCATGTTTGACTTTTGCTATCACTCTCGACTCTAGTCACATTTCACATACACTCGCCACTCGAAGCTTACTAATGATCTATATCTTAATAATGTTTGAAAATGTTAATAATAATTATCTAATTTAACTTACCCAATAGAAACGCGGGATCTTTCTCCATAAATATAAGTAAGTGGTCAATAAGTCGCTCGGCCCCCGAGAGCAGTCGCCGCAGATCATAGTTCCTTCGCTGTTCAAATATCCTGTTCAGCTGCGTTAGAGTAAGTACTGATACTATTTGGTTAAATGCATACCTGGAATTGAAGGCGTATTTTTATTTATTTATTTATATATGCTTTATTGTACACATTTATGTAGCTTAAAACAAACAATTTAAGTAAATATGCGTACAACGGGCGGTCTTATCACACAATGGTGATTTCTTCCAGACCTTTGGATGGAAATATTTGTAAGAAACCAGATAAGGGGTAGTTACGTGTACAATAAAAGACAAAATAAAAATGCCTACAATACAACCTACAATAGATATAATATACTAGCAACATATAAAAAAGAAATACATAAATAATATACAAAAATACAATAAGCTATGTGTGTGTGTGTATGTGTATTTGTGTGCGTATGTTTTATTAGGATATAGCCTAAAATTGGTAAAATTATGAATTGTGCAAGGATTTAATGAAGATGATTTTTTAAATATGTAGTTATAAAAAATATCTAATATTAATTTTTTTAATAACATATAGGTATTAATAATTTATTTGATGAAGAAAATAAAAAAACGCAATTAGGTCTGGATTTTTTTATATTATAACTTTCATAAGACATAAATTAATTATTGTGTTTTTCAGCTTACTCATGTAATTATAACAAAGCATGGTTAGCCCAACCATGAGGTTAATTTTTGTTCAATTTCCTCTCCTCTTTTCTTTTGAAATCTTTCTAAGTTTCTCACTCTCATGTGACATACTCTAGGTATTGTTATTTTTTCCAAAGTCTAGACAACACTTACTTGCTATCTGAAAGATTTAGTACACCAACAAAACTAAAATTAAAATACCAACTTACGTTAACTGTAAAACAAGTTGCGTTTCACTCTCATTCGACTTGGAAACTGCAACCAGTATCAAAGGCCCCTTCACCAGGAAGACTGCCTTACAATCATTTGTACTTATAGATCTCAAGATATCCTGGTTTTGTTCCTCAACCACACTTACGAGAGCTTGAATCACACCACATAGGCCTGCTAACTTATCTTCATTACCATATCTGAAATTGTTCAAATATGGACTTTATTATTTGGTACACAAATACTATATTTGATTTTCGCAAGTGTATAGATTGTTTTAAAGGTCTTCAAATAATTAATTTGTACTCGCCATATCTAAAGTATATGATTGATCAATGACAATGTAAATAAAGATGACTAATGTTATTATTACTACAATGTAAAATGGATAATAAAAAAGAAGCCATAAAGTATAATTTCATTTGTCTTAATCCTACGGCTACTTTAAGTTTATATCACCTTCCCTTTCTTGACTAGAATTTTTTGAGTATTTAGTTTGTATAGTAAACAAAACAGAAGTACTAATTTTCGTTAATTAAATTTAAAGGCAGGTTTTAGAAAAACATACTTGCCTAGAATAAATAGGTTTACCAGCAGAGCTTAGTATGAATACATGTTTCTCTTTGTTCACCAACTCAGGAGATTGAAGATAATCATCCTTCTCTGTGTCCGTATCATCACCATTCTGTTCCGTCAAGTTTGAGTTGCTAGTTGAAGCCGATATTGACTCCTACAAACAAGATTTTAACATTAAAACCTCTTCGAGCAATAGGCTGTATGTAAAGTTTTCACTAGCATCAACAAATAAAAAAACATACGTCTTTAGTCTGTAAATCATCACTGGACTTCGTGGGCTTCATTTGCGCAGAATTTTCACCAATTTCACTTTGTATCTCACTAATAGTACTACTTTTTGTGGCCAATGATATGTTCCTCTCTTGGAGACTCGAGCTCATCTCCGAAGCGAACTCTTCGAAAGAATCTGTAGGATTTAGGATGCTGTCGTGACATGCACCAGGTTCCAAATCGTCTGGAGGATTGTCCTGAATGACGACCGCGGGAACATCTTTGGAAGTGGAAGCCATAACGTATAATTTTCAATAAATAAATTAAATATTAAAATATACTTTACTACTGCAAAACGGCATCAATATAACGTTAGTGAGTTCCGTGCGTTACGTAGTAAGGCTTATCGAAATAATTACAATTACATGCTTCTGTCTCTTTTTCTGTTACGAATTTATCGTCGGTTTTCTCTTTCTCAAGCTCAGATAGAAGTTTGGGCTCGGAACGCTAAATAATGGGGTGTCTTGTCATTTTGACGTAACTTTGACACTGACTTTCTTAGCAGTAGTTGCCATGAACATAATAATGCCATATTAAAAAATTAACAATAAAACAAAAAAGCCATGAAACTAAATAAAATAACAACGATTAATATACTCCGATTTCCGAATACATAAACATAACATCACGGTTTTTATCCCCGAAGGGGTAGGCAGAGGTGCACATCACTTTTCAATATTTGTGTTATGAGTTCCATGTAATAGTGGGTGAGCCTATTGCCATAATATACCGGGCACATATTCAGACTCCATGCTACTACTGAGATATACCTATGAATTTCTAATTACTGAAATTTAATAAAAAATATTTCTTCTTCATTGTAATAAGTTATTAACTTTTAAAATAGGTAGGTACTTCCGATTTACAAGACCATAAAAAACGGCCTAGGTCACCTAGGCTATTACCTACTCTTGCATCTCATATTTTTGTTATACCATTTGTAGTACGGTAGTAGACATTGAAATAAATAGAGACATAATTTACCTATGAAGACTAGTGTAACTACATAGTACCTACGTGCTTGAATTAATGTAAAACTAATTCGTACTGAATTAATTGTGAGGTACTTAAGCATTTGTAAAGAGACTAATGGACTTCATTTATGCCGTGGGTTGGTCAGAAACTCGTTACCTACGTCACTTATTACAAAAGTAGATGTTTGCAAACGTGCTTTATGAATTAAAATAGCAATAAGTAATGATGTTATATTTTGCTAATCTGTTTTGCTAGGGATTATAATAATATATTTATTAATTCCTCGATTTCTAATATAGAGTAGGTACTAAAAGTAGTACTTAAGATGACTTGATCAACGAGGAAGTTTATTACCTGAATGGTATTTTTCGTATGGAGGTATTTGTAGGCAAGGATCTTCAAGAGAAAACGCGTTGTTTTAGGTGTCGATCGGCGTCGGTCTACTAGACAGTAGACCAACGCCGATTAATGAACAGACTAGACAGTCTGTTAATTAAAATTATCAATATCATTCCGTAAAAACAATTGATTTCAATTTATACGTACATACCTATAACCATTTTATTTTCAGAAACAAAAACTGCAACCAGCATTTCTACTATGAATAGGGAGACCACATTTACGTAGGTACCTTTTCATTTATAATGAAGGCAATCAAAGGATCATTTGACACAGATTCCTTTCAACAATAGGCAGCCTAAGTCTATAACGATAGATATTCGTTATCTACAACAAAAGTATCTGAAAGTGGAAATGTAGAAAGGTATTCAAGTAGAATAATGTAACAAATTGTCACCGATTGGACACAAGGGTTCGTGAGCTATGCTTCATGACCGACCATGTGGAACAAGCTGATAACTGTTCACTTGTAAGTCCTGAGCTTAAGGTGTGTATTGCAGGGACGTAATAAGGAGTGAGAGGTGGGTTGCATTAGCATGATAAGGCCCCAGAGAATTCTATTTCATAACAAAAATGATACGTAAAAATAAAGATATATTTCAATACGAACGTACTTGCCTGACTGATTTAAATATCGTCAGTCAGTATACAAGGTGTAGTTTTGAAACTGTGTCATTTCTCGGGGTCATGTCACAGAAGTCATAAACATCCAATGTAAGAGAAAATTTCGGGCCAATAGTTAAAAATATTGCTATAATAAATCGTTTAAGTTCAACAGTATTTCAGAACAAGCAACAGCAATGTTTTTTATTGGAGTTTTATGGAATTAGGAATAATATCAATTACGTGTATGAGTTTGTGTGTGTTAAGCCGCGTTATACAACTAGTTACACGACGGCGACGTGTAGTTCGCACTTACGGATTTCCGTAATTTCAGAAAAATGACAAATACATAATTATTTAACTAGATACAATTTTTTTTATCGATTCGGACCCATAATCGATAGCCGAGTAACCTCCTACAAAATGACGCGGCTTTAAAACAACACCTTGTATTGTGCAAATAAAATTGTGTTGGCGTTTGTAAATGCATCCACGATATAGGAGGAAATCCTAGAGGGGCAACAATGTTACAAATATACCTAATTAATAGGGTACTATGCGAGCTTTTCCTAAGAGCCTTAAGCTGGACAGGAATTATCAGCACTGTTTGTATACTGATTTTTACCCTTTACCTTTGAATTGGTTCAGGCCCATCAGGGGCCCAGCTCCAAATGCTGCCCTGTCTATACAGTCAGTCCGAAACTCTGAGCCCGTGCTTCATATAAACGGCTTTCGGTAATGTTCTGTGATAAAATATTGGTGAAATGTAACAGGAACTTACGTTTAATTGTGGTTATTTCGGGAAGTGTTGTTCGACCGCTTCAATGTGATGATTTGACCAAATAGACTTTATATAGTTTGGTTAAAAGATAATGTTTATACTACAGCAAACGCTGGTTAGCTCTGACTGAGAAACAATTCGGTATGATTTAGCTACCTTCCTACTTTCCTTTTTATCTCTGGACTAAACTTAATAGTTTACTAGACTTTAAATAAAGTTTAGTAACTTTGTTTTAAGTTTAGCACTAGGGTCTCGGATTCGATTCCCGGGTCGAGGAAAGAATAACTGGGCTTTTAAAAAAAATCTCAGTAGTAACACGGAGTCTGGAAATGAGCCCGGTACATGGCAATAGGCTCACCCCCTATAACATGGGACTCATAACATAAATAGTGAAAAGTGGGTGTTACTTCTGTGTGCACCTCTGCCTACCCCTTCGGGGATAAAAGGCGTGATGTTATGTAAAGATTAAAAAAATAACGGTCCTTCATTTAAAATCGAAAAGAATACCAAAAGTTCCCAAGTTAGTCAAGGTTCTATGGGTAATGCTAATGGGGGTACGGATAGAAAACAACATCAACGTTTCTGTATTATGTAAGTAGGTAGTCATACATACAGCCCACCCTTTAAATAAAAAAAGATTTTTTGAAATTGGTCCTGGCGTCTTCGAGTAATCGAGTAACAAACAAAAAAACTACAGTCGAATTGAGAACCTCCTTAATTTTTTTGAAGTCGGTTGAAAATAAGGACCTCTCCCCCAACAACCCCCAATAAATAAATCATCTAAATTCAACTATACTATATACTTAATCCAAAGCAACTCAAGATTGAACAAATACCATTTCCTCGCAACATTGATAGGGGTGTCTCGGTTTATATTGCGTTCTTATACTGCAGCCTTGTTTAAATAAACGTCTTACTTATTTGTCCCCCATCCCTAATAGGTACGTGAGATGCAAGTAAATTTGCGGCAAGGAAACTTTTTTCTTTCGTGACTGTGCACGGAGTGGGGTGTTGAGGATGCGGTATCATTAAATAAATAAAATGTTCATTACTTAGAAGAAGAAGTATTGTGGTTGATGTATTTTACGTTTTTATTTTTTTATGGTACAAGCCGGTAAACGTGCAGACGGATCACCTGGTGGTAATCAATTGGCGTCGTTCATGGACACCTAAACATCAGAGGCGTTGCAAGTGCGTTACCGGCCTTTTGGGATTAGGAATAGAGCATTGTTGGAGATTTAGGGATTGGGGAAGGGCCTCCGGTAACCTCAGTCACATGATGAAACACATCGCAAGCGTTATTTCACGTCTTTTCTGTGAGGCCGTGGTGTCACTTCGGTCGAGCCGACCCATTCGTGCTCGAAGCATGGCTCTTCCACACTTATGTTTGGATAAAATGGTGTTATTTTCTGATATATGCCTTCGAAGTTACGAAGACCTAGGCAAAAATGCAGTCTCAATGTAACACTTACTTGTCACCAATTTTGTATAAGACTGATTTGTGGTTTTGTTCTAAGAGTTTTTGTAAAACTGACAAGTTTTATTAATATTTTGGCCTGGCTCAGTAGATGCGCTTGCAGTTGTGGTGTGTTTTCGAACACGGAGATAGTAAAAGAAAATTTTACACAAAAACATTAAAATAAATTATAAAAGTGGTTGATGTTCTTTATCATCCATTAGCAAATCTTATACCTCAACGTTTTACATTTATGAAATTTGTTTTGCATGTGCACATTTACTGTTAGTACCGCATCCAATCTTCCTTCGTCTTTCAAGATCCGTGTACCAACCGCCCGGTATCTAATTTATTCGGCCTCCAAGAGAATTATTGTCATTCATGAATATGAATTGCTTTGTTTAAACTGATCAAATTTTTTATTAAACCTCTAAGTCGCGACCTTAGCGTGAGTTTTGTGGGAAGATGTTGTTTTATTAGCTTTCTGTTTATGTTTGAAGATTATTACTGTAGTATTAAAGTGGATTTTTTTTTAGAAAGTAATGTTGATGGCTGATGCGGTAACGGTGGATGTCTGCTAACAAGCTGTTGTCGCGATGAAATTGGTACTTGCCTATCTAAGTTTTGGTTTAATTTTTTGTTAAGAAAATGTATGTACAAGTATTCCAAAAATAACATAACATCACGCCTTTTATCCCCAAAGGGGTAGGCAGTGCACATTATGCCACTGTACAATGTAACACCCACTTTTCACTATTTATGTTATGAGCCCCTTATAATAGGGGGTGAGCCTATTGCCATATACCGGGCACAATTCCAGACTCCGTTCTACTACTGAGAACTTAAAAAAAACCCAGTGGTGCTTTACCCGATTGGCAGTCGCACTTGCGACCACTCGAGGCAGTCATTTTCCAAAAATCTTACTACGTATAAGTATACCCTAAGTAGATCATATTAAATGTACTTTCTACATCATAAATTTAAGTATTTATTTTGAGTCCATTGTGTCGACTACCATCGGCTGACGATTTTAATTAACCGGGACTAAGAAAGTACTCAATATAGAGTTTTTTCGCCATTTTTACTAGTTTAGATGAAATACGATGCAT